ATAGAAAAAATATTTGTCCTCTTAATTTTTCTCAATTTTAGATCATGTAGCTTTAAAGTTTCTATGTCTTTATCTTCCATGAGCCTAACTCAATGCTAACTACATAGAATAAGCCCAATATATACTGGTTAATTGGCTCAAGTCCACAATTCATGTACTGAAGTCTAAAAAGGCTGGCCTGTGCAACAATAATTTCCTTTTCTCAACAGTGTTTTAAATTCTATACCATTGGCTAAATAAGGAATGGTTACATTTTCTCTATCATAAAATGATAATGTCTCCCCCCCAAAAAAAGATAATGTCTCAAAGGGAACCAGACACATATATAAACCATAGACATACGAATGGATTTGGGGCTACCATTTTAATTCCATCCCCAATCTAAGAACAGTTTGCTCTTATATCATGGCCCTGATTGATGTTCACTCTGATGAAGAAATCACTGACAACATAGGTGCTATAGCAAAATGTGAAGAAACAAGATGGTGGCTGGCTATCAGAAAGTCTTAAAGGTTTATCTTCAAACAAGTAACCAATCAAGTGAGGTGTCAACTAAGTCCACATGGAAGAAACACACCAGCCTGTGTGATCCAAGGATTGTAAATAATTAAGTCCAAATCTGAAAGAAAGGTATCAGAGCTTAAATCCTGAAGACTTGGTTTACAGAAGATTACGAATGACAGTGGAAGCTCAAAATCCATCTGCAGGGCCCCCACATGCACTATCTGGTAAATCCCCTCTGACCATAGTCCAGGGATATCAGTAGCCTTGCTATCAGACAGAGAGTACTGTAAAGTCAATTATGGCAGATATATTTAGGTTAAAATGTAACATAATTTTAAAATTTTCTTTTTGACCCATTTTAAAGTTGTTTCAGTTTTTAGTATCTTCTGCTTTCTTTTGACTGGGGTTTTTCTGTTTTGTTTTGTCGTCGGGTTGTTTGTTTGCTTCCTGTTTACGTTTTGTACCATTTTCTGTATATGAAATGCAGGCTAAAACAACAACAGTGAAAGAAATTCAGGATACGTAAATCTACAGAGACAGTAACTGGATTAATAATTAACTAGTACGGTGGCAGGGGTGGCAGGGGAAGCTGGGGGCAATGGGAGCTAACAACAGTGAGTACAAGAAGAAACTGTTCTGATATTGATTGTGGTGATGACTACAACTCTTTAATATGATCGAATGATTAAATTGTATGATGTGAATCATATGCCAACAAAAGCACTTTTTAAAAAATCGCTGATCGACAACATTTTTTTTTAATTTAAATCATTTTATTGGGAGCTTGTACAACTCATCGCAATCCATACATACATCCACTGTGTCAAGCACATTTGTACATTTGTTGCCCTCATCATTCTCACATTTGCTTTCCACTTGAGCTCTTGGAATCAGCTCACTTTCCCCCCCCCCCCTCCCTCCCGAACCCTTGTTAATTTATAAATTATTATTCTGTCATGTCTTACACTGCCCGACATCTCCCTTCATCCACTTTTCTGTTGTCCATCCCCCAGGGAGGTTATATGTAGATCCTTGTAATCGGTTCCCCCTTTCTGCGCCCTCTACCCTCCTGGTATCATCACTCTCACCACTGGTCCTGAGGGGTTCATCTGTCCTGGATTCCCTGTGTTTCCAGTTGCTATCTGCACCAGTGTACATCCTCTGGTCTAGCCAGGTTTGTAAGGTAGAATTGGGATCATGAGAGTGGCGGGGGAGGAAGAATTTAAGAACTAGAGGAAAGTTGTGTTTTATCTATACTACACTGCACCCTGAGTGACTCGTCTCCTCCCCGCTACGCCTCTGCCAAGGGATATCCAGTTGCCTACAGATGAGCCTTGGGTCCCCACCCCGCACTACCCCCTCATTCATAATGATATGATTTTTTGTTCTTTGGTGCTTGATATCTGATCCCTTCAACACCTCGTGATCACATAGGCTGGTGTGCTTCTTCCATGTGGGCTTTGTTGCTTCAGGGCAAGATGGCCGCTTGTTAACCTGCAAGCCTTTAAGACCCCAGATGCTATATCTCTCGATAGGCGGCCAGGCACCATCAGACTTCTTCATTCACCACATTTGCTTATGCACACATTTGTCTTCAGCAATCATGTTGGGAAGGTAGGTATCATGGAATGTCCGTTTAATTGAGCAAAGTGTTCTTGTATTGAGGGAGTACTTGAGTGGAGGCCCAATGTCCATCTGCTACCTTAATACTAAACTTACAAATATATGTACATAGATCTATTTCCCCATCATCATATAAAAATATATTTACATATGTACATGCCTATATTAGGCCTCTACATATGCCCTTTGCCTCCTACTTCTTTCCTCTATTTCCTTTTACTTTCCTCTTATCCCATTATCATGGTCAGCCTTCATTTGGGTTTCAGTAATTCCTCTCGGTTACATTGCCTGTAAACAACGTATTCTTAAAAGGCAACAAACAAAACTATTTATCCAGGAATGTTCTTCTACTTCTTGTGTTAAATTTCTTAGCATCATACTGAATCTATCCTGAAGCTCCTAAATGCTACCATTAAGTTACTACTAAGATTATCAAAGGAGCCCTGGTGGCACCGTGGTTAAGCATTAGGCTTCTAACTGCAAGATGAGTTGAACATTACGAGGACAAGTTTTAAATATTAAAAAATATATATATTTCCCAAGATTTTCAAATAATATAGTCTACACTAAACCAAACCCAGTGCCATCAAATCTATTTGGATGCACAGCAACCCTACAGGACAAAGGAGAACTGGTCCTTACATTTTCTGAGTGTGTAAATCTTTATGGGAGTAGTCAGCATCCATCTTTACCCCTCTGCATGGCTGGTGGTTTTGAAATGAAGACCTTGCAGATTCTGACTGATCACCCTGGGGCTCTTTGAAAGCTGATAAATACCTACTTTTACTATCTGGCTATCAAACAGCCCAAAAGCTTCTCTTTATGGCACAGTTTCTCTCTAAAAATGTTACTTAACAGGTGCCTAATCCAATATTCTAGTGTATGCTAATTTCTGTTATTCTCATATTAATTCCTTTTAAAAAAAAGTTTTTTATTCATTTACTATTGTTCACTGCTGTGTACTTGAGGACAGCCACATGTTTCAGAAAGAAATGTTACCCAGTCCTGCGTTCTGTATGGTTCTCAGTAGCTAGGCCTTTCTTTTAAGGCATCTCTGGATAGATTCAAATCTCCAACTTTACTATTAGCAGGCAAGTATGTTAACAGTTTATACCACCCAGGGACTACCCTTATTCATAGCCATGTTTAAAGTTGTGCTTTATTCAAAGTCAGTGGCCAATATAGGTATTAAGATAATCACAGGAATAATAGGTAGATCAGCAAGCTGGAATGAGGAGAACCAGGAAAGGGAGCCTCTTCTTTACTTGTTCAATGGTCAAGACTTACGATGACCCTTAAACAGATCTACTATCCTGACCTGGGAGTGCAGTAGGCAGGGAGTGAAGTCAGGGCCAAGACTGGAAAGCGGAGTATTCTACTGCTCTTGTTTTTTTAGCAGGGAGCATAGTACCTGAGATCCTATTCATCTTGGCCTCTCTGTTTTGTCCATGCTTTCCCTTGTAAGTGAATGCATTTCTTTTATACATTTACCAAGATGTCACATGTTCTACAGGAGGAGCATAAAATTTGGAGCTAAACTGACTTAGGTTTGAGTTTTGCTTTCTTGTTAATAATCTGAGCTACTTCCCGGTTCCAAACCCCAGTTTTCTCCTTGGTTAATGGAGATATTACTATACACTAGTGGAAGAATGTAAAAGGTTGGTCCTCAGTTTGGAGACTTAGAAAACTGCTTTTACCAGCATGTATTATCAGCTACCTGAGAACACACATATATTATAGCTTATGTATCTATGTATGTATATGTGATGTGGAATTTAAAGGAAACTCTAAAGAAATACCAATTTCCAGTGATGGATTCTTCTGGTTTTATTTCTCTGCATCCTTCACCCTTCAGGATATCTGGTAGCAAGGCGTCAGTTGTAGATAGTGTGAACATCTGCTCTACTTGGTTCTAGAAACTTCTCTTTTGGATAGACTGAGCTTGTATATTTAAGAGAAGTGGTGCTAAGCCGGAGCTCTATTTTCTAAAAGGTCATTGAAGGAGAACACAGTTACTGGAATCTGTGTCCGAGCCTCTAAGACTGTCCTGTTCATCTTTGCATGCCCTGTGTTTACATGTTCGTTTTATTAATACATGAGGGATAGTAGTTTTCTTTAAAGTTAATTAAATTCTGTGGTTTTATAACTGTCCTCTGGAAATATTAACCAAGTTTATCAGATTCTTCGGGGAATTCCTGCCTGATTTTTTTTTTACTAAATCATTTTATTGGGGGTTCTTACACCAATCCATACATCAATTGTATCAAGCACATTTGTACATATGTTGCCACCATCATTTCCAAACATTTTCTTTCTATTTGAGCCCTTTGTATCACAACTCTTATCACAATCCATACGTACAACCACTGTGTCAGGCACATTTGTTGCCATCATCATTCTCGAAACATTTGCTTTCTACTTAAGCCCTCGTACCAGCTCCTCATTTTCCCCCCTCCCTCCCCTCCTATTAATTCCTTAATGCAATCTTGAGTAACTAGCTATGCAAACTACCTTTTGAAATTCCATATTCCATTCATTATATAAGAACTTTTAAAACTTTTTAAAAAGAGAAGTAATGGTAATTGAAATCAAAACATAAAGCTTAGATAAATGTTCTCAAGTGTTATTTGTTTCTACTATATTGGTTAAAGTATATTATTCATTTCCAATTAAATTCATTGTAAAATAAAATTTGGCATTTCAATTTGGTGCATTTTAACAGACACTGAAATGTATTTAAGTATGATTATAGTTTAAAATGCTATCTTAAAGCAAAATGAAAGCTGATAAAAGTTATAAGTTACAAGTGGTCATTCCATTAATTCAATGGAATCCAATTTGTGCCAAGTTTCAAAAGAAATTACTACTATTACCTGCTGAACAGCCAATGTACTATCCATCTCATCAAAGGATTCATCAGGCCAATTATAGAAATCCTGTATTTTAAAAAAAATAATGGTTAAGGCACACAGTTACAAAGAAGATGCAAAACTTAATTTTAATTCTTAAGAAGTATCTGAAAGGCTTTATAAGGTAATTATAAATATGCAAAGTAAAAGAAAATCTTTTCAATATTTTTAAATGAACATCAAGATTTTACTTAATTATATTACAAATAACATATTCTTCTCCAATTATGGTAACAACTAACAGCTAATAAATTACTTGGCTGTACCTAAAAAAACAAAACAAAACATTCTTTTCCAATCATCAAACACCTCAAAGAACTAAAAAAAATTCCTAGACTTAAAAAAATGAATTGGGCTGTACCTAATATGAATAGGATTTAGTAGCCAATTTACTGTACCATAAATATTATTTTAGACAGCCACTGAAAATATTATCTAATTCCAAATACTGCTTTAATATTCTAAAATACACACTCTGTCAAAAAGTAGTCATCTATATATCTAAATAGAACAGCCTATTTTTTGGTCATAACATTGAAAATATACTTCATAAAACAACCACTCAACATGTTCTACATATATAGTACAATGACATTACTAATCACGGTTTTCATTGTAGCACCATCCTCAATATTGATACTCATTGTTTTACCTCCATTAATTTAGACTGTCCTTTAAAATTCTCCCGTTTTAATATTATTGCTCTCAATTTGATCTTATTATTTCTTTAAGAGAGTGTACTCTCAAGGTGAATATTCCTTCCCAGTTGGCTAAACTGTTGTTTAAAGATGATATAATGAGTAGGGTTAGTTCATGATTTAAGGATTATTCCAAGGCAATAGACACAAGGATTCCTCTGCTCACAACGGGTCCAATAAATCTGGCTTTTATAAGAATTTGAAATTTTTAGTCCACATTCCCCCTCCCTTTGACAGGTAAAACACCTTTTAAGATGAGTTACCTTTGTGGAATGTCTTGCAGGGGTTCTGAACATTTCTGGAGATGATTCAGAAGAACTTTACCATTAAGTATTTTTGCCAATAATCTACATCAACATAAATGTCTCCAAATATCTTGGGCAAAAAATTAAATTGGAGAATACATTTTCCATATACTAAACACCATATAGATAAAAGTTTAAGAAAGCACAAAGCATGCTTATGGGTGTGTGTATGTGTACCCATGTAGTATATATATTATATATAACATACACATACAAATAAAAGTATAAAAAGGGAATGACAACCACCAAATCACCTGGGTAGGAATGGGGATAAGAGAAAACGCAGGAAAATGTGACCCACGGGAACTCAACTATATTAGCAAGGTTTTTTAATTCTGAGGGTAGGTAATAGGTACACCATTTTAAAACATCTTAAACATCTAATACCCTTAAAAAATTTTATAGCCACTCTATCTGGATTAAACTAAACTAGTAATCGTCTGATTATGGAAAAATATCAAAAGATAAAGACAATCTTCTGGAAACTGTGCAAGGATAGCACCTCAATAACCAAACCAAACTCACTGTCATGGAGGTGATTCCTAAAGGACAGAGCAGAATTGCTCCAGTAGGTCTGAGACTTAACTCTGTCTGCAAAGCAGATGGTAGCTTCAAACTGCTGCCTTTCCAGTTAGCAACCCAACACATACCCACTACCATTAGGGCCCTTAGCATCTAAACAACTCATCAAAAATCAAACTCACTACCATCGAGTCTGTTCCAACTCATAGCAACTCTATACACCACCAAGGATTCTTCAGCATCTAAACAGTAATCTTTAAACTTTTCCTATAAAATTTCATTAAATCATGTTTCCAACAATCCACTTTGCCCATTCTTTCCTTTACAGTTTTAAGGGTGTTTATAGAACATTAGAAACCATATACAGTGATCTATAGATAAGATATAAAGAAAGCTAACTGGAAATTAAATGTTTTACCGCATCATAACTGACATATTTCAGACACACAAAAAGAACCAAGTATCACACCTTCTGTCAATATTCTTAATTAAGTCAACAAACCCGTACTGAACACTAGTTATATACCAATACAGCAATCTTTTACCAACTTTAAAAAAAAGAAAGGTAGAAAGATACCCAGCTTACAGGGTTGGCTTTCTAAATGTATCACTTTATAATAAACCTATTTTACTGAAGGAAATTAATGTGATAGGCAAGTAATAGGAGATGATATTGCTTAAGCATCATGTTTTTTTAATGCTTATCTTTTTCTGTTACAGGTTATTCTACAACCTTGATCTATGACATTGTGGAAAAAATAAAGATTTCCTATATGTGACTTACAGATGACAACATAGCAAACAGATGTGTTAGAATATTAACTTCAATACTGTTTCCTAGCTTTTCAAATGTAAGAAATTGAGTTAATAAAAATGAGAATAGTGCTTAGTATGTGAGTACATTTCTGAATATAGAAATACAAAAGTTGATCACTGAAGGATCAGAAATTATGTTTCCAAAATGAAAGGCTATGAGGTGAGGGGCAGGAGAGTATTTAGAAGAATTTGGAGAAATTCTTTGGTTGAGAAAGCATACATCCACCAGACATTGTATGTAACTATACAGTAGTAAGACCACAAAACTGTCAACAGAAGTGACTGCTGGTTTAATGTCACTCTGTAAGCCTTTCAAAATAAATCCTGTGAAGTTCAGTACTAGAAGCAATGTATGAAAGAGGAACGATCTGTAACCTTGAACAAATCCAGTCCACTCTCTGGACTCAGTTTCCTCATGTTACATGCATCCGGGACGGTGCCCGGGCTGGTTAACTCCTCTTCAGAGTTCTCCCTTTAATTCTGTGCAATGACGATCTTCTCAGACACAGCCAGCGCTGTGGCTGTTTCCTGTTTTCTTTTGTCATCTTATATCACTCACGTTTAAAGATGACATTTTGAACACACCTCTTCAGAGCATCTTTTTGCGAACAAGCCATTTTGGCTGGGCAGATCAAGCACCTGACGTCTAAACGCCAATTTGTTTTTGTGTTAGAAGTGGGAGGGCATCCAATCTTTTGCAAAGCTCAGGAACTATTACCTCCAAACAAGCACCAACTCATCCCAGAGAGCGAGTTGCCCTACGAAAAGTTGGAAGGCTGACGATCAGTTCATTCTCGGTCCCGCGAGGGCTGGCATCTAACAAGTCACAACTTGACCACGGAACTGGCAGCGCCAGACAACAGCAGCAGAGGTGGCCGCAGACACACGGGATGAATTGTACATGACCGCCCCTCGGCGCCGGCGGCCGCGCGGCGGGGCAGGTACGTCGCCGTGCGGGCAGAGCCGCGGCGGGGCGAGGTGGGCGGCGTTTGCACCCCTCCCACCTCACAGGAAGCCCCGGGGTCTCCACCTGGCCAGGCCGCGCCCCTGCGGCACCGACCAGGTGGAGGTCCGAACGAGCCACCAACAGGCAGCCGCCTCCGGGGGGCTCCCGGCCCCAGGCCTCCGAGAACCCAGCCCGCGACCCCCAGGCGCCCTTCACGTCCAGCCCCAAGTCCCGGCTCCGGCAGGCCGCCGCCTCGGCCAAACTGAGGACCGACGGCTCCGGAAGAGCAGGCCAGGCACCAGTGCCCTCGCCCGCCTGCCCCCTGGCCCGGCCTCAGCTCCTCTTGGGCTTCCAGGCGCTGTGCGGCTGGGCACCAAGCGCTCCCAGCTGGAAATAATGGGGAGACAGTACCTGAGCCTTGGTGCCCGGTCTGTTTCTCCTCAGCACTGCCGTCCCCTCCGCCATGACCATAGTGCCAGAGTCTGTGCGGCTGGAGTCGGTACCCGGATGTAAGGGGGGCGGGGGTGGTTGC